AGCTATTCTCGCGGGAAAGTCCTGGGAGGTCCGGAGGTTGCTCAGTCCAGAAGGCTCTGTGGCTCAGCAGTCCCGATCTGGTGCCAAAGGCCTGGAGGGTCCCTGCAGAGCTGCTGATCTTGAGTTTACATTGGAATCCAAAAGCCGGTTCTAATATTGGTAAAGGACTGCATCAGACACAGGGTAGATGATCCTGCCAGCAAGAGTGAGAACAAGCAGAGGAAAAGCAAAGTTTCTTTCTTCTATTTGTTTTTTATTGTTGTTTTGGTTTTTTGTTTGTTTGTTTTGAGACAGGGGCTCACTATGTAGCTCTGGCTGTCCTGAAACTCAATTTGTAGACCTAGGCTGGCCTCAGACCCACAGAGATCCATTTGCCTCTGCCTCCCAACTGCTGGGATTAAAGGTGTGCAGCACCATGCCTAGCTCAAAACACTAATTTAAATGGGTGCTGACAATATTAGCTCAGTAGTCAAGAGCTCTTGCCCACTATTTGTGAGACCCTGAATTCAGTATCTGGTACTGAAGAACAAAGTCTGTTGAACTGAAGAAAATGCAGGAAAAGGCTATTATTGTACACTGAGTTAAAGAAAAACCTGGGGTAGGAAAATAAAGGGGGGGCAAGGGATCAAAGCTGGAAAGAGCAAGAGGAGGAAGAGGATGATAGATGCCTTGGTTCTAGAAGTTCCCCTTGTCTATAAAGCAGCTCTCACGTCCCAACACAACTCACTTTTCTCCACTGCCCAGGGTTTTGAGATTGCATCCTGTGCTGTAGCCTAGGATGGCCTAGAACATTCTACATGGGCTACAATGCCAGCTGCCCAAGTTCTCAAATCATAGGCCAGTGTGCCTGAGAATAACCCACTCTCTCCAAGAAAAGAAGGGTGAAACGCAAGCTGTGGAAGCTTGTTTGTTTGGGGGTCGGAGCCAGGGTCTCGCTCTGTTGCTCAGACTGGACTCAAGATCACCATTCTGTGGCCTCAGCCTCTCTGCTGCTGGCTTTGAAGCAGGTTCTTGTTAGCACGCAGAACAAATTAGCTATATATAGCAACAGCGTCTCTTTCATCTAGTTGTCTTTGATATAACATATATGACATCATTTTATCAACTAAATAAAACTCTAATTGCAAAAAAAAAAAAAATACCCACATTGCAGCTATTTTCTGGACATTCTGGAAGCTTCTAATTAAAAAAAAAATCAACAGTACATTCAGTGTGAAATATTTCATACAAAGGCTTTAAGTTCTCCCCACAATAAACCCATTGTTCCCAGACTTCATACATGTCATAAAAGCCTGGCAGCACTGTGGTTTGAAACCAAGCCCTTCCCACCTAGCTGCCTGTGTGGAAGAGAAGGGAGGGCTCTAGGGTTCTGCTGGCCTTGAGGCGCCCAGCAGAGCTTGGCCCAGGCACTGAGATCGGAGAAGGCTTCCCCAAGAAGGAGACTCCCTCCCTCCACGGCTAGCCACGGTTCATAGGGGCTAGTTAGATGCAGAGGAGGTGAGACTAGGTGCTGAAGTTGGACATGGGTCTCCAGGAAGCTGGCTTGCTTGTGAGCCCCACTAAAGAGCACGCAAGGGCTGTTGAATGACCCCTCATATCCGGCTTCTCCAGGGCTCCCGGGGGACACTTTGTCCCTACTGCTCATCTTTTCCTACTCATTGTTCCACATGAGTAGGAAAAGTGGGATAGACTGGAAACCTCCAATCATAGGGTAGCCCACGGCTAGGAACTGGGAACTAGGTTCAAATGTCCAAAGCCTCTGGCTCTAGAGACTAAAGCAGGAGAACTGAGGATTCCAGGCTAGTCTGGAAGACACAGGAAGAAACAAACAAACAAACAGACAAAACAGAAAACCCACATCTAACAAACAAACAAACAACAAAATGCAAAGAGTGTCTGGGACCCAGAGCTGGACAGTCTGGGGTGAAAGTACCTACAGACAACTGACTTTGCCTCTCTCATCTGGGTTCCTCCCCTCTGACTGGGATGACCTCATAGGTTTGTCTTGAGGGTGGAAAACAATGGCACACACAGGTGACTCACCAAGTGTAGCTCTTTATATATATATATATATATATATATATATATATATATATATATATATATATATGTTCTGCCTGCATGCACACCTGCAGGCCAGAAGAGGGCACCAGATCTCATTATAGATGGCTGTGAGCCAGCATGTGGGTGCTGGGAATTGAACTCAGGACCTTCGGAAAAACAGCCAGCGCTCTTGACCTCTGAGGCATCTCTCCAGCCCCTCAAGTGCAGTTCTTTACTCTCATTGAATCTTTACACTGGTGCAAGCCAGGGGCTGCTGTTGCCCCTGTTTACAGATGAGGAAACTGAGGCCTCAGGAGTTAGTCAGCTGAATGACACAGACTCACACATGTGGCCAACAGCCAAACTGGAATTAGAACTGAAGCCACGTGATGTCAGCACCCATGAAGGAGGATCCTTTGCTCTATTGTTTTATTGGTTTGTCTCCAGTTTATAGGTTTACGCCCCCTCCCACGTCCTGGGTGCTGTGAGCCTCCCAGGGGGAGGGCCCTGGTCTCATCATGTCTGGGTGAGCTCAGCACCTGCTTAATTGGAAGGCCTCTGCCAAGGCGGGCTGAGTGTGGTGTGCTGGGTGCGGTCCAAGTGACTGGCCATGAAGGTTACCGCTTGCTTGATTTCGAAGGGGTCAGGCAGCACCCAGGACGGTCGTGAGCTATGTCTTTAGCTTTTCAACGTTTGCACTTATGGTTTCTGGATTGGGGTGGGAGGCTGGCCTCGAACTCACAGAGATCTGCCTGCCTCTGCCTCCCAGACTACAAGTGTATGCCACCAGGCCCAGCATTCTTTTGTTTTTTCGAGACAGGGTTTCTCTGTGTTGCCCTGGCTTTCCCGGAACTTGCTCTGTAGACCAGGCTGGACTTGAAGTCAGACACCTGCCTAAAAACTGCCTCCCAAGTGCTGGGATTAAAGGCCTGGGCCAGTACCTGCCTGGCCTACCTCTTTTATTCTTTATTTTTTAGATCCAAGGCCTTCAACTTCCCAAGACACGGGAGTTCTGAACCCTAGCCAGAGACTCACAGAGCAGATGATAGTGGCCACCTGGAAAGCTGATACGAGGAGTATAGGCCAGTGCTAGAGCTCTTGGGTAGAATGTAGAGGCTCTGGGTTCGATTCCAGCATATCTCCCCCTTCCTCTTCCACACACAGCTCTCTCCCTCTCTCTCATTCTCTCACACACTCACACACACAGGTCATTATGTGTACATTTTCCTGCTTCCCTTCAGCTGACCTCCTAGCAGTAGCTTCAGAGGGAGTAGTCACACCACAGAAACAGGTGGACCTAAGTTACATTGTGGTTTTCCTTCTCCTCAGAAACCCTGTCGATAAACATCGGCCAGCAAACCACTTTCCCAGAGATCTGTTTGTCCTCTCTATCGGCTCTGGAATTCCCGTCCTGCGCCTCAGGAAGCCCTGGTGTCTGGAGGGACTTATGGCCAGCCACAAGGCCAAGGCTGGGGCCCTACTGTGTGCTACATCACCGGCCCTGGCTCCCGCCCCTCCATACCACGGCTGCCGGCCTTGAGCACCGAAGTCTACAGAATGAGAGGCCGAGAGCGCACATTTGGCACCACACGGATCCAGGTGTGCTTCTCGGCAAGCCGCCTGACATGCCCGTGTCTGGTGTGTAGCACAGTTACTAGCCAACAAGATGCTGGGCTGGGAATCTAGGCGATTACTAGAGTGCTTATCGGTGTAGCATTAACTGAGTGTGGGAAGGTGCGTGCCTGCCGGCCTAGCTCCAGGAGGCGGGGCCAGGAGTGTCCGAAGCCCAAGGCCCTCTGTCCTTTCGTGAGTTTGAGGCCATCCTATGGTACAGGGGGCCCTGTCACTGCCACTCCCAAAGATGCTGCCATCACACTTTCACTGTTCGTAACTGTGGTAGCCTGAAGGAGAATGGCCCTGTAGGCTCATGCATTTGAATGCTTTGTCCCCCGTTGGTTTAACTGTTGGGAAGGGTTAGCAGGTGTAACTTTATTGAAAGACATATGCCACTAGGGGTAAGCTTTGAGGTTTCAATGCCTGTGCCAGCTTCTCTCTCTCTCTCTGCTTCATGCCCATATAGCAGAGGTAAGCTCTCACCCTCTGCTCCAGCATCAAGCCTGCCTGCCTGTAGCCATGCCCCCTTGCCACGATGCTCACGAAGCCATGAGCCCCCAAATTAAATGCTTTCTTTTATAGGTTGCCATGGTCATGATGCTTTGTCATAGTAATAGAAAAGTAACTAAGACAATAACTAACTTGCGCCCCAAATAAAGCCGGTGTTTTCCTGAACTCAGCTTGCCCCTCTATAAAATGGAGTATCAGTAGCTGCTTCCTTCGGATGTCAAAAAGGCAAACAGCTTTTTCCTATAAATGAGCCTTCTTAGCGGAAGGCTTACCTTGTTATCCTTCCTAATAATTTCTTATCCCAAGGGCAAGCATGAAGCTGACCTCTATGCTCAGCCTATGAGCCTCGCATAGCAGGTGTTCGATCAATATTCCCAGCAGGAGCAAGATGGACCTTGAAGAAAATGGGCTTGACTTTCCCTTGACAGTGCCTAGCCATCCCCGCCACCAGGGGGCGCCCAGCCCCTCCCGCGGCACCGCCCCTTCACCTGTGCAGGCCTGCACCTGGCGCCGCCTCCGGAAGAAGGCTTCGGGGATCGGGGGACCTCGCAGGGAGCCGGCTGGCGACAGGTGAGAGCCCAGGGGGTGCCGAGGCCGGGACACCCAGGCTGTGGCCGTGGCTGGGGGAGACCGGTCGGGAACGTCCTCCGGGGACTGGAGAAACTCCGGGAAGCCGGGACGCCAGCCGTCCGGAGTGGTGGCTAGGCATCGGAGAGCCGGAGCGGGGGTCGGGAACCCACCGCCCAGTGCCAAGCGGGGGTCGGGCCAGCTGGGGCTGGCCCCGGGGCAGCTGGACCCGGCCGTCGGCAACACCTGGGGTTTTCCAGCCCGGCTGTACTTGGCACCTGTCGAGGGGACGGAGACAGGTGCGCGTGGGCTCCGGGGTGGGTGGAGGGCGGGACCCTCCTGGGGGTTGGCGTGGGGCAGCCAGAGCGTCGGGCCTTTCCTCCTGAGTCCTTGAACCCCTCTCCCTGGGCGGTGAAGCACAGGGCTCGCATCCCCAGGGGCGGGCCGGGAAGTAAACAGAAACCCGGAGTGGCAGCGGTGGCGCGCTGGCTGGCACAACCTGTTACCTCGCCCTGCGCTGAGTCTGCGCCAGGGCCGGGCAAACTGGGGGTCTGGGGACTCGGGCTACTAAGTCAGCAGGGGCAGAGGCAGAAATAGCTGGCTGTTGCTAAAATAAAGGCTTCAGAGATTCCACTTGGAATCCAGGGGAGGGGGACAGGGTGGCCGTCCAGGCTGGCAAGGCTAAGAACAAGTCCTGAGGGAGTAGAGCCAGGATGTGGGAAGGCAGAGGGCTAGAGACGCGAGTTTCTGGAAGGCGAAGGTGCTGTGTCCCTGTGGCTAAAGGGTCGGGACACGGCTATTCCGTGTCAGGACCAGGAGTTGGTTCCCCCCCTAAGGCTGAGTCTGTATGAACCTGCGTTCTAGGGTTAGTGCCCAGGCGGCGAGCCACTGGGGAGAGGAGCAGGGCCCGCCGGTGGGTGGCCTGTGGCACCAGAGCGCAGGCACAAAGCTTCAAGTGCAGGCGGAAGCTGGGAGGTGGAAGGCTAGGTGGCTGGTTTCTTTCTGCTTCCAGCCTCAGTTTACCCTGAGGTCATTAACGGGCTGAGCGGCCAACATAGACATTAACCCTTGTTGGCCCAGGGAGGCGCGGGCCGCAGGGCTGGGAGGCCGAGGTGTCTGCCACCAGGGGGCGAGCCCTGGGGCGGTTCCAGGTGAGTGTTGAGCAGCGCCGTGTCTTCCCAGATGCGCATGGACTCCCCTGGACGGTCAAGCTTCCCTTCCGAGCTGCTCTCGGGGGGCGCTTCTCCTAGCGGCGATGAAGGATTCTTCCCGTTTGTGCTGGAGCGCCATGACTCCTTCCTGGGAGGGGGCCCAGGCCCAGAGGAGCCAGAGGACCTGGCCCTACAGCTGCAACAGAAAGAGAAGGACCTGTTGCTGGCTGCGGAACTCGGCAAGATGCTTCTGGAGCGCAACGAGGAGCTTCGGAGGCAGCTGGAAACGCTGAACGCTCAGCACTTGGAGCGCGAAGAAGTGAGTCGGCCTAGGGGCCGATGGAGGGTGGGCCGGGCTGGGATGAACAGCGACGAGAGCCAATCAGGGAGAGAAGAGAGGAGCGTGAGGAAGGGCAAGAGAGCAGATCTCCGCAGGAAAAATAGCGATAGTGCAAGCCTGTAGTCCCAGCACTCCAGAGGCTGAGGAAGGCTGCATAATAAGACTTTGCCCCCAGAGAGAAAGAGCTAGTCATGGTGGTGCACGATTTTAATCCCAGTGCTTGGGAGGCAGAGGCAGGCAGATCTCTGTAGAGTCAAGGCTAGTCTGTCCTGCATAGTGAGATCCTGTCTCAAGAAAGAAAGAAAGAAAGAAAGAAAGAAAGAAAGAAAGAAAGAAAGAAAGAAAGAAAGAAAGAAAGAAAGAAAGAAAGAAAGAAAGAAAGAAAGAAAGAAAGAAAGAAGGAAAGAAAGAAGACACACACATGCTGCACAGGGGCCTCACACAAACATATTAATTTAAAAAACAAAATAAAAAGAAGAGTGGACTGTGGTTAAGGTATAGTTGTAGAATTCTTGCCAAATAAGTACAAGGCTCTGCTCCACAGAAATCCAGGCGTGGTAGGACCTGAAATCCTGCCCCTGGGAAGCAGAAGCAGGAAGTTCCGAAGGGTTCAAGGCCATCCTTGGCTATATGTTGAGTTTAGATCCATCTTGGGCTACGTAAGACCCTAAAAAAGAAAGAAAGAAAAAAAGCCAGCAAGAACTCTAGACTGGAGTGCAGTTCAGCAGGAAGACATTTTTGTAACATATGCAAGGCCTTGGGTTCCGTCTCCAGCACAGCGATAAATAATAAACACTCCGAGTACCCCAGGACACAGGGACAGGCAGATCTGTGAAGCCAAGCTGATCTGCATAAGTTCAAGACCAGCTAGGACTACCTAGCAAGACCCTGTCTCAACGACAAATAAAAAATTTAAGGACAAGTAAGATCTGTATTCAGGCTGGGTGTGGTGGCGCACACCTGTAATCCCAGCACTCTGGAGGCAGAGACAGGTGGATCTCTGTGAGTTCGAGGCCAGCCTGGTCTACAAAGTGAGTCCAAAACAGCCAAGGCTACAGAGAAACCCTGTCTTGAAAAAAAAAAAATCTGCATTCTGATCGCTGTCTGGCTGTGTGGCCCTGGGTTCGATCAAGGTTGACCCTCTCTGAACTCCAGCTAAATGTCCTCCATGTATCTTCTCTCTTCATCCTTGTCCAGTCCTGAGTTGTAGGATCAGGTTGTCCCTCTGCCTGCTCTGTTGTCAGCCCCGCTCTCACCCTGGGGCTCATGTCTATATTTGTAAACACCCTCATGTACCCCATTGTAGCCCTGGATCCCTGCTCTAAGCTGACCTTGCTAGCTCGCTACCCTGCACTCTCCAGAGGAGGCTCTCCTGTGCCTTGTTGAATTCTCTACACCAGGTTCCAAAGTCCCCTCCCGTATTTCATCCTCTCTGTTGCCTCAGCACCGGTGGTCGCCTCAGGCTCGGTAGCATCCCCACACTGGCCGCAGCTTTCCTGGGCTCTGTGATTCTGGTAGCCAATGAACATCAAAAGTACAGTTAGGCTGGGCATGGTGGCCTTCAGTCCCAGCACTAAAGAGGTAGAGGCAGGTGGATCTCTGAGGCCAGCCTGCTATATGAAGCAAGTTCCAGGACAGGCAGGCAGGGCTACACAGAGAAACCCTGTATTGGGGGGTGGGGAAGAAGAAAAAGAAAAAAATCACATCGCTTTATTCCTGGACCAGCAGCTCCCACCACAGTTAGACTAAAACTGAAAGTCCTCACTGTGGCCTAAAATCCCAGGCAACTTCTGGCCTCTGGTGTCAGGGACAGCCTCCCTCCTCTGACAGGGTCTTTTTCAGTTCCTCCAGTGGCTTAGGCAGTGCTCTCTCAGGGTCCTTACATTTGCCTGCTTGCCCCACTTTTGAGTCAGATTTGCTCTGCAGCCCAGGGCTGGCCTTAACTCACCACCCTCCAACCTTAGTCTCCCAAATGCTGAGATTACAGATGTGCTCCTGGCTTGCACCTGCTGTTCCACTGGCCACCCTCATCCTGGCCCACTTCCCTTGCTCTGCAGGAGCCAGCACGAACATTGGCCCTCTTTAGGTGAACCCCAGCTCTGCCTCTCTTCCCCACTTTCCCAAGTTCCTTCACAGCCCTCCCCCTCTCTCCCGGGAATTGCCTAATTCAGGCATGTGCCCGTTTGCTTGTGACCTTCTGGCAGTGAAGATCTCCCTCAACCCCTAATAGCCAGACAGGAATAGGAGGAGCTCAGGAAATATTGAATAGGGATGATGCCTGTCTGGAGGGGCTGAAGGACAAAGAGCTAGGGGTTGGTAAAGGGACCTGCAGATATTAAAAGGACTTGTCCAAACCACATAACAGTAGCAGACCTAAGTACCAGCCAGGACAAGTCGGCCCCAACCCCGCCCTGGGCTTTGTTGCCCTAGCAATATTGAGCAAGAGTTTGGCTACCTAGATTGCCAGTCCTTTGCCTCTCAGGCTTCTGACCCTGCGCTCTCATTTGAGGATGCTGATGTTCGCCCTCTAATGGAATGAAGTAATGCAGCTAGGGAGCCAGCCAAGCACCTGGCAGGAGCACCTGCTAATAAGTATAGCAACTGTGGTCAGAGTCACCTGGCCCATCCCCTCCTGCTTTGAGGGCTCAGAGACAGTGGGCCCCCCCCAAGACTTGTCTGTTTTCCCATGCTGGGTACCTTAGTGTGAAGTGTGTGCCCCCCCCCTCTGGTCCAACAGGTTTGGAGGAGGGCAGATGGAGGGGTGGGGCTGTGGGTGGGACAGCCCAGGACTAATTAGAGGGAGATGGGGAGAGGGGCTGGGCCGAGCAGGCCAACAGAAGTTCCAGGAGACTGCAACGAGTGAGGCCATGGGCCGGGGCTTAGATTCCACCAGGCTCAGGCGCCAAAAACGACGCTTACGACTTCGGGTCCAGAAGCCCAGGCGGCAGCAGGAGGTGAGTGGCAGCAGGGGCTGTGACTCCCACCCCGGCCTGCGTCAGCCCATCTTCTTAATAGCTCCCTCTGGGTTTCACTTCACTCTTCCTGCCTGTTACTGACTGACCTTTTTTGCTTCCTTGTCTGCCTTAGACAGGCTGGACTCTTTCACAGACAGCCTGGGTGTCCCTGTCCCTGCACCTCTGTCTGAGTCTGCTCTAACCTTAGGCGGCTCCCTGTGTTTGTCCTCCCCACAGAGGCTGCAGCAGGAGAATCACGAGCTCCGCCGTGGATTGGCAGCCCGGGGCGCTGAGTGGGAGGCCAGAGCCGTGGAGCTGGAGGGAGATGTGGAAGCGCTGAGGGCCCAGCTTGGGGAACAGCGGTCAGAGCAGCAGGACAGTGGGCGAGAGCGGGCAAAGGCCCTGGGTGAACTCAGCGAGCAAAACCTCAGGCTCAGCCAGCAGCTGGCCCAGGTGGGAGCCCTGGGTCCCGGGAAAGGTGGGGGCTGACACACAGGTCCTCAGTGCGCGGCAAGTCGGTGGACAGTCTGGGATGGCATCACTGTCGGCTCCCTCTCCCCAGGCCTCCAGGACAGAGCAGGAACTGCGGCGGGAGCTGGACACCCTTCGAGGTCAGTGTCAAGCTCAGGCCTTGGCAGGGGCAGAGCTCAGAGCCCGGCTGGAGAGTCTACAGGCAGAGGTGAGTATTGGCTGAGGTTCCCTGCAACTGGCCCAGGCAGCCCTGAGACCCAGCCTCTGCCTCATCTCTGACGCGTGTCCCCAGAACCAGATGCTGCAGGAGCGCCGGCAGGACCTGGAGGCCCAAATCCGAGGCCTCCGTGAAGAAGTGGACAAAGGCCAAGGCAGGCTGCAGGCCACACACGAGGAGTTGCTGCTGCTTCGTAGAGAGAGAAAAGAGCACAGGCTGGAGGTGATCAGGGGCATGGGGGTTAAAGGGTGAGAGGGCAGCAGACACCTGAGCCTTGGCAGTGACCTCAGGACTGTCTGGGAAATGTGGCCAGTTAAACCACCAAGAGGAAGAGCTCTCGGGACCCTGAAGGCGAGAAAGAGTATCGAGCAAGGGAAATGCACTCTTAAAATGCATCAGGGCCTGGCAGCTGGTAGGCCAGGAAGAGGGAGGGTTGAGGCCAGAACTCAGGATGGAAATGCCTGGCCTGGATGGTCTGGGGCTGTGGTCACCATGAATAGGAGTGAAAAGGGAGGACAGTCTGAATTCAGATGGTGTGGCTTCTTAGCCCCACCCTGACTCAGTTTCCCCACTTGTGAAATGGGGTGGTATTATACACCTCAAAGGACCGTGGTGAGGGTGTGAGACTCAGGAGGATCAATAAATGCTAGATCAAAGCAATTAGTGAATTAGAAGGAAGACAGTGCAGGAAGGAACCCACTAGGTGAGATCGTGAGGTGCCCTGATGGGGCCAGGCCTGGGGCGGAGGAGGATGCCAGGCACGCCCTGCTTTATAGGTGAGAAAATTGGTGGCTGCAGAGGGGAGCTGTGTGTTCCAGGAGGCTCTGTGTTCCAGGAGGCTCTGGGACTCAGGAGCAGACCTGGT